CCGCGGGGCTGCGCACCGCAGCCTGCAGCCCGCCCTCGGGGACAGGCCCGTCCGCCCGGCGCTTCTCCTCGAGTGCAGCTCTGCACCGCTCCAGCGTTCTTCCTGCAACTTGAATCCTCTGTTGCACTGCAGCCCGTGGAAAATGAAGTCCCATAAAAGACCTCATTTTCCGTGACAGTCGGAAGCAAACTGCTATGGTCAGGCTGCGTGATGTGATGCATGTGCTCACAGCGCTTTTTCCCCTACTAAAATAAAACGAACCAAAACCACAAAAGCAAAAAAAGGAACTGTTACTGTTTTCGATAGCTGAGAGCACCCAACGAACGCAGTGAAGGCCAGAAAAAAAAATATTCTGCTGGACATTTCCATTGTAAGCGCCTTTTCTTACAGGGTAACCTGCACCAAAAGCAGTGCAGTGTTACCAGAGACACTGGGTTTTAAGCACAGGATCCTGCACAGGATCCTGGGCACGGGTAAGCCACCGTGCCCAGGCTGGGGTTCCCTGCGCGCTGCCTCATCGCGCGGCCGGCGAGGGCCGAGCGCGGCGGCGGCCCCACGGACACGGCCGAGCAAGAAGCGCCCGTGACGCCGCTCGCGGCGCGGCACGTGGACACGGTCCCGCGGGGCTGCAGCTCCTGCACGAGGCTGCCCGGCCGCGCTGCAGCCCCGCGGCGCCTACAGCGCCCGCCCTCCCCGCGGGGAGACCTGCGGCCGAGACCCTCACAGCGAGCGCCAAGCAATGCGCCTCATTATCATATCCTTAGAATAGATGTAATATAAATTTCATTACTCACTTAAAAGTTCTAAAGTTAACAGCATAAACTTGAAGTTGAGTAATTAAGTAATCCTTATATAGACACTTATTAAAGTATTTATACATATTATCTTAAATCTACATCTATCATTTTGCCAATTAAAATTAGGACTTTAATTGCAATTAAGTAATTTAATTGCCAATTGAACAGCAAAATTGCTAAGTGACTAATTTTAATGCCTATTTTAATTACCAATCATGACTGGGGAGGGAGCTAATCAAGCAGTATCAGAGTAATGATGTGAAAAAAAATGGAGAACAAACATTCAAGACTACATGCTTTTAAAAAAGAACTCCAAATTAAATAAATGCAAACACAATTTTATACATGTGGTGAAATGCTGTATTTTGGTATCTAAATACATGAGCACAAAGAACACATTTAATTAAAAAGAACTGTCAATCTCCCACTGATGTATTAAATACAAAGTGTCCTTTGTACTTTATTTATGTATTAGTCTCCCTTTAAAAGTAAGCCCCAAACTGGGTATGAATGTGAGACTGGAGCGAGTGAATGAGTAGCTTGACAGGCTGAGCTGCCACGGAGCTGCGATACTCCGGGATATATATACACACTTAGTGAATGTAAGCGGTATAATCACCCTCGGCAGCACATTGCACACAGGAAGGCTGCAGTGCTAATGAGCCAGCAGCGTCTGTTCCGCGTGGAGCCCTGGACACGGGAGCTGGGATTGCTGCCGGTGCAGCAGCCATGTCCCTGGAGAAGGAGGCTCCGAGCAGCCCCCAGCACCCGGCTCGGGCTCCAGCTCTGGCTGCTCCCTCTGCACTGAGGGGTCAGGCCGGGCCTCACACCGCCCCCTGACCCGGTTCTGGCCCCTGACCCAGCCCCGACCCGGCTCCTGACCCGGCTCCTGACCCGGCCGGTGCACCGCAAGTGGTGGCACTGCTGTATGGCTGTGCAGCGCCTCGTGCGTCGCTGCGCATTGCTGTGCATCACTGTGCATGGCTGTGCATTGCTGTGCATCGCTGTGCATTACTCTGCATCACTGTGCATCGCTGTGCATTGCTGTACAGCACTGTGCCATGGGTAATTCAGGGTGGAAATTCCTCTCCTCACATTTGAGAGGGCTCCGGTGCGGCCGAGGCCGCTGGAGCGCTGGCTCCAGGAAGGCGGGAGCATCCGTGCGCCTCTCCCACCAGGACACAGGGTGCATCGTGCTGGCAAGCCATGAGCGCTCCCGGAGAGCAGAACTGCACGTTTTCCATCATGGATTTGGGGTATCAACTGGCAAACACAAGGAAATCTGACTTAATTAACTTCTCCAAATGAAGTACTGTGCGTTTTTGAGCACATCTCTGAGCCAGTTGGTGATCCTTCCTCCTCACAGAGACCTCGGATATATCCCATGGAAGAGGTTGTGTGCCTGCTGGAAAGCAAGGGCTCCCCAGTGCTGGTGGAAGAGAAAACGGGAGCTCTGTCCCAGAAACATGCTTGTGTGCTTTCCCTTCGGCACAGCCCTGCAAGGTGCTTTCATTCCATTTTTTTTTCCCATTGTTCTTTCTCCCTTTTTCCCCCCTTTTCCTTTCCTTCCCGCCCCCCATTCTTCTCCCCCCACCTTTTTTTCCCCTTTCTTTTTTTCCTTTTCTTTCCCGAGGTGTTTTCCTGTGGCTCAGCCTCCAGAGCACAGCACGAGGTCGCCAGGGTTTTGCATGGAGAGCCCCACAGGGCTCCAGGGCCCGAGCACGTGCGACCCAAGGCAGGAGGAGCTCCCGGTGACCGAGTCGGCAGTCAGGCTGCCTCTGTCCCCCCCACTAAAACTGCTTGTCAGAGTCTTCCCTAACAGCTTCCCATGGAATGGACATGCTGCCAAATTCATGGGATTTTGGACTCATGAATTTTTGGCCACAGTAAGTGAGTGTGACTGGTTTCACAAAAAATACTTCCATGGGAGGACGTGATGCTTTTAAAATAGTGCCCGCTGGTTCTGTGCTAGCAAAGGGCAGTTACGTAACAGCGCGGGGTACGGTGGGGGGTGAAAGTTAGGGTGCAGGTTGTGGTGCGGGGTGCAGGTTGCAGTGTGGCGTGAAGGTTGCGGTGTGGGGTACAGTGTGGGGTGCAGGTTGCGGAGTGGGGTGCAGGCCATGGTGCAGGGTGCAGGTTACAGTGCAGGTTACAGTGCGGGGTGCAGTGCAGGGTGCAGATTATGGTGTGGGGTGCAGGTCACAGAGTGGGGTGCAGGCTGTGGTGCAGGGTGCAGGTAACGGTGCGGGTTACGCTGCGGGTTCTTTGCCTGCCCTGGTGCTGGTTGTTAAGTGTTTTAACTGGCGCTCTGGACAAGGGGCCTGTGAATTGGGGCAGGGGCGCTGCCGCCTCACACCTCGCAGGCAGAACTGGGCATTTTCGAGACGCGTTTTGCTGAAGACGAGCGGAATGGGAGCAGCGCCGCGGGATCGGAGCAGGCCAGCCCCGTCGGGCGCTGCGTCGCTGCAGCCGCGGCGCTCTGCTCTCCTGCCTCCACAGCGTAATCTGAGACAGTGCCCAACATTTAGGAAGCGTTAGGATAGAAATTACCAGGAAGATCCTCTCGGGGTTTCTGATAACCTTCTGCACGGCAACAAAGGTGACGGACTGCGGCGTGCTTCCGAAAGAGCGCTAGGAAAAACTTGGCTAGGTATGAACTTGGGAGAAACT